ATTACCTGATTAGCTTCTACATTAAACAAACCGGATGAGTGTATGGCATGGACTCGCTGGCAGACCGGCAGACCATCCATTTTTCTGTAGAAAGCGCACAGCCGGCTCAGGGCACAGCAGGTCCACAACAACATCCCACCGCTGGCACTCGGCGGCATAGGACTGCCAAACACATCCGAAAACGACCGCCCCAACCACGCGTTCTCCGCCCGAACAAGAACTGTCCTTCACACGGCTCGATTGTGTGTTTCATCCACTTGTTCCGGTGTTGATTCAACTCATGGAATGAGATTGTTTATTCACATTTATTCACCAACTCCGGTATGTATTAACCAACTCCGGTGTTTCTTCCAGTTTTTTTCCGCAATGAGATTCAAGACATCCACTCTTTTGATATGTCGTGTTTCCGAAGTGTCCTTTTGGATCCTTAGGCCGACCGGGACGGTGTCGGGACGGTGTGGGCATGCCGTTCGTTGGACGCACGCGCCAGGAGATCCCGCACCACCGTTCCGGGCTGAGTCGTTGCAGCAGATTTGGGGACATGACCGGTCCAGATGAGCCGATGGGTGTACTGGATGGACCCAAGACCCAAGAAGGTTGAGCCGCAAAGCACTGAAATACAGCCACTGCCAAGGAAAGCCACCTCCAAGACCCTAAAGACCTTGGCTCAGTAAGCCTCAGTAACTGTTGCGAACGGAAGTCTTGCGTGGGTGGGAAACAGGTTTGCAATAATGTTTCTATATTTTTCATCCTAGTTCATTAGTATGCTGTCTGCTTCTACTGCATTTGTTGGCTTGTACGACTTTTTGTTGCCATCACCATTGAGACTCGAGAAGTGTATTCTCCAAGTCTTAAGCGACTGGCGATTTTTGCTGCAAAATGGGCTCGTGCCGGTCAAGGAAACATGGGCTCGTGCCTCTGGCGGAAGTGTTCAAGCGCAAAGCTCAAAGAAATTTCAGGGATTTGAGCATGACTCTTGGCTGCATAGAGAGCAGACCTTAGGTCACCAAGTGGTCATCAAAAAAAGCAAACGCAGGAGTGCGTGACAAATACAAAGACGGGCTTGGACACGCTTTAGTGGTGGAAGACAGGATTCGTTTAGAGTCCAAATTTCTTCTCAGAATCCACAGAGATTCATTATACGTGGACTTGTGTGTGCTGATCCATATTGATCCTATCCGGTTTCAGGCGTTTGATCCTTATGTCCGGTGCCAAATGGATCCAAATGGCCCAAGTACTCCGAGGTACTGTGATGACCTCACTTTGCTGATGAAGCCGAGAGGTATGGAGCCACAGCGAGGCGACCAGCGATGGCTCTTGGTTCCGCCCCCGTGGCGACCTCCGTGGTTTCAACCGAAGGTTCACCCGTGGTTTCCCAAGTTCCTCCGGTGGTGCGGTGGGTGAGAAAACAGGATCTTGGCGAAAGTGAGGCGACCTGGAGAAGCGGGGCACAGCTTCGCTGTGTAGAGGCCATGGAAGGAGCTGCTATGTGTGTTGGGGGTGAAGAATTCGAACAATAAAGACATATTAACGCCAAACATCAAAGCCTGTTTGTGTCACCAAGGCCCCAAGAAGACCATGTCCAAATCCAAATCTGCAGTTCAACTGCCGCCGCTGGTGTCTGCTCCTCGGAGAGGGAGGTGTTTTTTTCTTTTTTGCTTGTATGCGCTCGGTATGTTCACAGATGTTCAGCCAAATCGGCATGAAACACCTGAAACACAGCGCTGAAGCAGCACGTGGCCCTCCCAGGCACGAAGCGGGACAGAACTCGCCTGGTGACGTGGTGCGGAGCGCGGAAACCCCGCGCACGACGGACGACGCGGATGCGGCCGTGCATGTGAAACGTCACTCAGTTCATGGCAGGTGAAGGGCTAATTCACATGGCCAGCTGCTAAGGGCCAGTGAGGTGTGTTCCACAAGAACAGGACCAAGTCCAGCGTTTGTGGGGCAAGCTACGGATGACTTGTGCAAGAGGTTTTTCGCTGCTGTTTTACGCTGCTGATGTTTTACGGACGAGCACCCTTGAGCCCGTTTTGGCAGAGGAGTCTGTGAAACAAAGTCTCCTAACATTAACGCTTAGCTTGCACTTCACGGTCTGACGGTTGTGTTAAACTGAACATTCTAGCAAGTCTCCAAAGCCACACCAACCCCCAGAAAGCTTCTTGCTCCTAATAGCAATGCCCTTTGTTCATAGTAGCTTCTTGCTCTTAGCAGCGATGCCAGGAGCTACTAGTAGCTTCTTGTTTCTAGTAGCGATGCCAGGAGCCATTACACGCTTCTTGCTCCTAGTAGCGATGCCAGGAGCTACTAGTAGCTTCTTGCTCCTAGTAGAAATGCCAGGAGCTACTAGTAGCTTCTTGTTCCTAGTAGCGATGCCAGGAGCCATTAGTCGCTTCTTACTCCTGAAAGAAAGTGTTCCACCTGCAGAATTCTGTTCGCTGCATCAGGCGCCGCCCCTGCCGCCGGATCTCACACGTTCGGGCTGGCATTATCCCACGCAGGCTTTTGGGATGGGCCGCCCGTGGGTGAAGCATGTCAACAAGCCACAAACCTGTTGCTCCGCCCCGTGGTGCAGATCTACTGCTGGTGGTGGTGGTGGTGGTGGTGGTGGTGAGACACCCGTCTTCCGTACACACTGTCACATTGTTAATAGTCATCACAGTCCAGCTATGCTTTTGCCCAACTGCGTGGTCTCAGCCCATGTCAGCCCATGTAGGAACTTGTGTCGCAACGGTGGCGTTTTCGTCGTCTCACGCACCGTGTGGTAGTGGGCTTCCAGTGTGGTGTTCCCCCGAACGGTTGCGACCTGCAGAATGTCATCAGGCTCCGTTTCACGATTCCAAACTCATGAGCTGGCGAGCCAAGTTGGAAGAACTCATGGCGAGCCAAACTCAAAACACATATGGGCTTTGGGCCACGAATCAAAGGCGTCAAAGATATGAATAAGTATATATATATAATTAGAGAGAGAGTTGAATTTGTGCAGCTTGTGGATCCAATCCTCGATCCAGTCCTCAAGAGGCCACTTGATTTTTGTGGAACGGATTTGATAGGTGTCGGTGTCGAGAGAACCTGGTTGCATTCGTTGAAACAGGGGAGTGGAATGGAGTGGAATTTTTCGTGGGTTCTTTCATTCTATAGTTTATATTCACTTTGAATAGCTGGCTTGCTATGTGTGGATCGGCTTCTTGGGAGCCTGCTCATTTCCACAACGTTCGCATCCGAGTTACCACCTTGACAGGCCATTGTGCATGACCACTTCCACTACCATTATCATGTTCCTGCTGATTCTCTGCCTTGACAGGCTTGGGTGATCCTTTGTTATACGACTGTGCTGACTGGTTCTGATAGATGACAGATACCACTGCCCCACAAGGGAGTTGCATAACGGGAATCTCACAACGGCAATCCAACTGTACAAACTGTGGGCAGAACCAGGATGTCGCTCATGCTTCACCCGACAGAGAGCGTAGCACAAACAGTAGTTCGCAACGACATGGTGCAGGATCAATAGATAGCGCAGACGGTGTATAGCATTATCAAGATATGCCATGCAGCCGGCCCATTTTTGGTTTCTGATTGCCCTCCTATTAGGTCAGAACTTCCCCGTGAAACAAGAGACAGTGCTGCCCGGAGCCCACCTCTTCGTCTGCAGGATGGTTCCATTGAGTCAGAGGCTGCGACTCACAGTGTTCTTGAAGCTCCTGGAATGGCAGGCCTTATTGAAACTCATGTGGTGCCTCAAGGGCCCTGCATGCATCTTAAGGCTCCCTGAAAGGGAGCTTGGGCAATAGAGGCAGTGATGGGCAGTGGGAATTGCTTGAAACTCCAGAAGATCTCTCAAGGTTCACTGAGTTCATTGCCTATGAGCCCAACCAAGGTTTTCTGGCAAGCTGAGCTGCCCCAGTTATTACATATACCTGTATTTTTGGCTGGACTGGAATGTTTTCCAGTCAGAGGTTAGCCATGGCTCCAACCATGCTGGCAGTGGCCAAATCCCTTGAAGCTCAAAACCCCCGCCGAAGGCAACCATGTGGACACGATGTCATTCATTTGAGGAATGGATTTGCTGCGCAGGGTTGATTCCATTGCACTATATATCTATATCTATAATATATCAGGAAACATGAAACATGTTGAACTGGCCCACTGCCAGAGCCTGTGGTGTTGATCCCCGGACACGCTCACTTCGCACACAGCTGATCATTCGTCAGCCAACCAAGCTTATCAGGTGAGCCTGTTTGTTCTCTTCAATTCCCAGAAGATCAACGAGAAGTCACCACCTTGCACCTGCTGTTTTTCTCCCCATATTTTGTAAGATGGGATCAACCACCTAATTGGTGCCAGGTGTTTAAAAGACTTTCCGGCTTGGCCAGTTGATTCGTTCCCCTTGGGGGGGGGGCCGCGTCCCAATGTGGGGCCCCGAAGTGGGCGCGCCACCGAGCACGCAAAAAGTCAGTGGCAAGTGGTGTCAGGCAGGTCCGACACTGGTCTGAACATTGGAGATGTTTGGGTGGTGGGCCAGTGATGGCCAGTGGCATTGATGGATGATCTGATCCCTTCATCCCCGCAGGAGTTTGGGAGAATTCCTTATTAAGGACCCCAAATCTGAGCGAGACAACCAGTTCAAGTGTTCAGCTTGAACAACTGCCGTTTTTCAGCTTGAGCTGACGTTTGATCCACCATCCGGCTGCACCGGAGCCTTCAAACGGAACCTCTCCGTCTTCGCTGGTCGCTTTCCATTGGGGCACACGAGTGGGCACCGCGTTGTTTTGACCCAACGGGCAGGTGCCGCGGCTATAGCTCTCACGAACTGTGGCTGGACACAATCCGAACACCGCACCTAACACCCAGGACAGAATGCAACTAAGAGGAGGCCCGGAGGTAATTAATGTTCATATTTGATGTTGTCAGATTTTGCAATCAGCCCCCCAAAGACCCCTGCAAGAAGTCAAATGGACCAAAACCCATATTGGCTCTTTGACATGGCCAGCACGCAGGTCGCGCATCGAAGGGCGAGGCGTTGCCCACCGGTCCTTGTACCCGAGACAAGACTTGCAGGCCTGGACGAGTCGGGAGAAGGTCGAAAGGATTCGAAAGGACAGAAGGCTGGAGATGTGTTTGCCACCGGGTCGGAAACCGAACGTGTAGTGGTGTGTGGTGCTAATTTTTGACCATCGCTATACATTTGATTTTTGTTGGACCCGGTGGCCATGGATGTCGATGATGTGTAGAGACCGTGATGATCGGTTTCACAACATGTAACATGTTCATTACATGTTCATCAACCTTACAACATGATGAGTTGTTGATGTGACGACAGAAGATTCTACGGGGGGGTGGGGTTTGGGGTGGGCTGGTTTCGTTTGTGTCACGATGGTGATGAGTTGTTGATGTGACAACAGAATAAGATGCTATGGGCGCTTCATGCACACAGGTACCAACAACCTGACGTCACGTTGCGCCGAAGAGCTGTCGAAAGAGCTGTGCAGACGCAGGGAAAGAGAGCGTGTGTTTTGCGGCTCCGTTCCCATGGTTTTTTTTCACACTTCCGTAAAAGCGAACCGCAAAACGAGACAACAATTTCCATTCAACCCCAAAACACAGGGGTTTGTAGGGAACACAGTCAGGCTCCATGCGTTTATCACACCCACTGACATGAAACATGAGGGTGCACATTCAGTTTCCGACCCGGAGGGATGTTTTGACCAGGTCATTGGGTGAGACCTCCTGGTTTTCCGATCACCAGATCTATGGTAGACGCTTGAAACGTTCCTTTGCTTTTCAGCCATGATCTCGCCCTTCCGGGGTGACCTACCATGCGGGATGTGATTTGGTTGTGATTCCGGGCGTGGAATCGGTCCAGTCTGCATCGCACTGAATTGCACCAATGGACCATCGAACTGCAGTCGGAGAGTCCAACCTAACATGAGACCTTCTACGCCATGCAGCCAAGGGCAAAAGACTGCGGAGGATTGCCTGCTCGAAAGCCCCACGAAGTGTAGGGGAGCAAGGGAACCCATATGAACCCGTAACCCATGTTCAAGGACTGGACCTTTATAGAACACAACGTGCTGTATGCAGATGTGCTCGACCTGGTACACATAGACGACATCTCTTGCAGCTGTGTGTCTTTGAAGTGGCTTTAAGAAATCATCCAATGCGAATCCCTGGCCGACCCAAAACCCTAAAACCCACGACACATCTTTCTCTTGGATGACCCCACCTGCTGGGGCCTGGAGAGGCAACGGGGCGCAGGTGATTCTGCAACGTCATTCCCGTCAGTCCCAGCCGTTGGATGAGGAGGAGCTGGAGGCCTTTCATAAGCGAGTCGGGGCACCCAAGATCCATGTTTTTTTCAGAGAAATCGAGACATGTGTTTTTTGGATTGCGTACTTAAACGCCCAGCAAAGTACAGATACTCAAGTGCCACAATCCACGTCTCGATCCAGACTCTACCCTGAGAAAAGCCGGATGAATCCAGAAATCGAATCATGGCTGTTATTGACGATTCAAAACGGCCGCACTAAGTGATGAGTCAGAGCCAGTCTCACAGAGCGGGATTCCGTTTGCACAAGTCGGTGGTATGTTTTGGGCATCACATGTTTTACTAAACATCACCTGTTTCAACTTTTGCCCAGGTCACGATCGATGCCAAAACGGAGGCAGTGGACAAAGCCTTCCAGGCGCGGTTCGCCAAACGACACGAGACGACGCGAGGGGGCGCCACTTTCATATACTTTCATACTCAGCTTCGTGATTTTGGGGATTGGCCCACTGCACCATATGTGGTGGCCGTGGCCTGTTTGACTGTCAGTGTTTGGATCATTTGGGGTCAAAACAGAAGCTCAATGAGGGTTTGAGCAATGGCAAAGGCTGCTGGGGGGTTTGATCCCTCTCCCAGCTCTTGGATGGCCCAAGATGGTTAGGTGTGAACTAAGAAGCTGAAGTCCAACTACTTTATATAGCATATTTTTACAAATTATACCAGCATAGACCCCGAACAGTTTCAAAACGATTCGCTCGGACCAATATAGTCAAAAACGATTTCTTGGTATGCCCTACCTTCCCCCCCAAGATCAAACTGATATTTATCAGTTATGTTTGTCGGCATTGACATCGCTAATTGTTCGGCCACAAGAGAACACAAGAGAAGAGGAGGACAAGAGAAGAGGAGGGCAAGAGAAGACAAGAGGAGGACAAGACCCGGTCACAGAGTTCATGGGTGCGGCCAGTCAGTGTGTCCAGGGCTGGTCAGCGCGGCCAGAGGACAAGAGGAGGACAACAGCAGGACAATAGAAGGACGAGGAGGACAAGACCCGGCCACAAAGTTCAGGGGCACGGCCAGTCAGTGTGGCCAGCTCTTGTTGTCTAAGATAGAACCCCAACAGTAAACTGCTTGGGGAAAATCCAAACGCATCTGACAATCAGTGATTGCGCATGCTATAATAGGACAACTGCCCAATTGCCTCATGGATGGCAAGGCCACCCCGCACCAGGCCGCACTGTTGGGTAGTGTTAAACTTGTCCAAACAATTCCGGAAGTACTCCATACTATAGATATATAAGAGAGATAGGACAATTTAACCCTGCAACCTAAGCACGCACCTGTACCTGACCACCATGTACTTGCAGGCAAGTTGCAGGGTATAACTTTCGCCACTCAAGTCAAAAGATCAAAAAACCTTCCTATCCAGTCTGGACCACAAGTCTGACAGCAGATCAATTTGCTTCCCAACTCAGACCGAGGTCATCACCACACTGCGGCTTTTGGGCTGGGCCCCTCGGCTGAGGCCCTTGGGCATCGCCCAACCTGAGGCGCAGGAGGCCACGGGTGGTCGACCGGGCGGCCTCTGAACCGACGGGTAGCGGAGTTTTTCAACTGGCGGAGTGGTCTTGGGGCAGCAAGTGTTTTGGGGCAGTTTGCGGGAGTACTTGCACATGTCAAAACCAGAGATCAACTACTGTAATTATATGTAATTTTATAGAGAAAATCAGGCAAAGTAGAACATCTCCCGGCAGACGATTCTGTTCCTGTTTGGAGTCATATCCAAGCTAAGGGTTTCAAAGTTCACATGACATTTGATCAATAAATTCAAGGCAAGCTGTACTATATTTTGTTCCGTTATTTGATGTATTTTTGCCGGATGAGTTTTCATCGGAGTTGTTGAAAAACCGTGGCAGATGCCACACGATATCCAGATTTTCCGGGCGGCACATCGAACACAAAAGAGTTTTTCCAAACACAAAAGTGCGCCCATTCGGAAGTGGGATGAAGTGAGGCGGAGGACTCGACCATGCGAGGACCATTTTTTTCGGACCTGGTCTTCGTCTCCGAGAGCTCGAGTTTGAGATAGGGATATGATGTGACACTACCCCAGGTTAGAATAATGTAATACATTGTAATAATATATTGATTAATACCCCCCCCCAAATGTGTGTCTACACATGTCATATCAGGATTAGATTTGTTGCCTTCTATCCTCGACAAACCCTTGGGGATGTGGCGGAGATGGTATAGGTGTTGAATGGTGTTGATATGCTTTAGTGTGCTTCCCATGTTGACTCGGAGCCTTCGCTTGCCCCAGTGGGTGAAGTTCCCCAAAGTGGACCAGCGGCCAACCTTCTACTGGCACTGCTGGCTTTGGTTTGAGGTGGCTGGCATTGGGCATGGTGGACAAAAAGAACTCCCAGAAACCGATCCTTTTCGAGAGAGTGTTTGTTGAAGCCTTCAGATCCCTATCGTTTTGGGTCGCAAATTCTAGGTGAACACGACAAAAAACAGCATCTCAAAGGATGATCACCGCCCGCAATTTTCGCAATTGCCTGTTTGCTTGGGCACCCGTCGTACATATCTCGCACATTAAATCGATTCAATGAGCTGCACAATGTAAGGTGTGGGGCTTCCTGTGTGAATTAGCAGCATAGTTTGGGCGGTTTAGTGATATCGTCATCGAGCTCCTAACTGCATCCCAGAGCCATTTTTTAGAGTCATGCGGAGTGCTTTTGGCCTCACTGATGTTTGTGTCTGAAACCATGAACAAGATTGGCCGCTAAGACATTCAGAGATTCTACTTTGGGACCCGCGTTCGTATGGGCGCTTTGAAACACGCAGAAGGCCCACGGTGTCAAACAGTCCTTGTTTTGGCCCGGAGAGAGCCCACAAGAACCGACAAACCGGGCCGTCTTCAGCCTTCCATCTTCTTCCTCATAGAATGTCAGGTGCCCAAACCATTGCCATCTCAGGCGTCATGCCGCACATCACGGGTCCGTCATGGCCGCTATGCCAGGAATCGTCGGACCGAGCAGCTGCAAACTCAGACGGGCGCACCGGAAGGGTCGAAGGAAGTGGACTGATGGATCCCCAAGGAGGTGATGTAAAACATGTTGAAACCAAACGCAATGCAGACTCTTGATTGATAAAACCCATAATCGACTAGAGGTTTTAACAAATTGAAAAGTCTGTTAGATGGAAGATGGAAGGTTGGATGTGTTCCAGGTTTGATGGAGGAGAGAGCTAACGGTGACTGTCCTTATAAATTAGGTGGTTTGCCATGTTTCTGGTCTGAAATATATACTTGACATATCGCATATCAGTAAAACACCTATCAAACACAAGCCATGATCATCTGGGAAGAAGCTTTGATGCATGAAATCGGTTCCTTCCCATGGTTTCTTCTCATCTTTCGCTCCAACATCACCGGTCCGCACCGTCGCCAGCCATGGTACCGTTCCAGGTCCAGGTGGTCTTTGCCCAGCGGTTTAGAAGCCGCCTGGCAAGGCTTCCCGGCCTCCAACGATCGCGCTTTCTTTAGGCACCTGCTGAGGGACGAAACTGGAGGTTTTCACAGAACACCAGTCATTTTTGGCCAGAACTCAATCCTCAATCCAGCAGAACTTGCATGGAGTGCAAACTGGGGCAATTCGAGGTGCTCCCGACGAACACCGGCCCTTCTGAGAACCGCCCGACCTAGTATCTAGAAACTCGTAGAAGGCGGCCCCGCCCGCTTGGAGACCAACTCCTGATACTGGAGAAGTGACCAGAAGAGTTGGGAATGCGGAAGCTGAGCAACTTCTGTGGATTTTGAAGAGGCTGGCGACCATTTGGTTCAAGCACAAGTTATCAATGCAAGCTGCCAACCTGTCCCAGTCCCAAGCTTCTTCAAGCTGTTTAGATTCTTTTGTAGCTTGTAGCTTTGTAGCTTCGTCGTAGAACCTGACAGTACATAAGGCGTTGCATAGCTGCAGGTACTTGAACTGGAAATTTGCAATATCCATCCTACCATGTGGTCCTTTGGTCCTACTTTTCCTCGCAAAAGGCAGCGATGCGCCACCTTTCACACGTGCGATGTTGGTGAGACGATTGATGAGCCCTCAGGGCCCTCGCTGCTTTGCTCGTTGTCCAGGTGCCAGTCGTTGTCCTGGCGGACACATGCTGGAACATCGTTCAGATTCTGCCAGTGGTACTGGTACAATACTTACTGGTATCAACCGAGTCCAGTACCGACTGGTATAAAAACCGACTCAAGTTGGCAGCGTCCAAACACGTGAAGTCCACACCCTCCCAACCAGGACCCACCAATCAGTTATTAAACCTTCATGTCAAGCTGCCTCAAAGCCGAACATGTTCAACTAGCATCAACTAGCTGTTTCTCCGCAAATTCCTTGCAGACATTCCCAATTCAATGATTGAGCTTGCTCATGAGTTGTCTATGTGCAAGCATTTGAGACATCCCCTCATCAAGGAAGTCATTGCAACGGGTTCAAGGATCTTGAGACATATGCCAGAATTTGTTTGCTAGTTATACTAACCGCCTGGTGTTCAATGAAGCAACTAGTGTATTCAATAAGGCGACAGACAGAGACATCAAGGATGGCCGCTTTTTAGGACAGATGTCGTCCTTTGAGGCAGTCATGACCAGTCGTTTATTTTCATTGCTCGATTGACTGATCATTTACGCAGGAAATCTGTGGAGCTCTGGAGTCCTTCGCCCAGCTTCACCCTTCCGCAGCCGACTGGTACGGCAGCCACTGTACCATGCAGTTCGAAGCTTCTCCAAGGACGGTAAGATCCCGGCGGACAGATTGGTTGGGGAAAGGCAAGATCGTTCGCTTGTGCACTCGTATTTTCTTTTAGGGCCTCAGATAAGTTTTCTTTGGAATTGAGCAGGTTGTTTCTTTTTGCTTCCTACAGTCAGGAAACAAGGGGGTCGTGGTCGCACCTATGGCTAGGAACAAGTGCCACGCTAGTAGAAACAAGTGCCACGCTAGTAGTAACAGGTGCCTTACTAGTAACAATGTTTGCTATTAGAAACAAGTGCCTTACTAGTAGTAACAAAAAGCTACTAGGAACAAGTGCCGTGAATTCACCCTCGCAGGACGAGAAGCCGACACCGAAGCCGACTGCGGCAGGTTTACCGCAGCTTTGGCACCTGCTGCGCCCCGAACGGCGGCGACTCCAGTGGCTTGGAATGGAAGGGGAGGCCAGTTAGGAACAGATATGTTGGGTCTGTCCGAACTTACCTGTAAGTCAGTAGACAAACATTGTTACTACTAGTAAGGCACTTGTTTCTAATAGCAAACATTGTTACTACTAGTAAGGCACCTGTTACTACTAGCGTGGCACTTGTTTCTACTAGCGTAAGTCAGTAGACAATTACGTCTCACTATTTTGGGAAAAAGGCATTTGTTTCTTTCCCATCATCCACCGGGCCCTGGTAAGTTCGGATAGACCCAAGTGATATGGTTGATTCAGACGAGACATGTCACATGATGTCACCGCTATTCAGGAAGTATACCCGGGTCTTGGTCTAGGCCGTAGGCCTGTTTTTGTGTGCTGCTACTTTGTTAGCCATCCAATCAATCGTGAAGGTTGTCATATGTATTGTGTACAGGTTTGTAGCCAACACCAGGTATCGAACATACACTTCGAAGGATACATTTCGATCATCATATTTCATCATACAGCATCGGAGTTTTCTTGTCGGGCTTTGTAAAGCCTGGTCAGATCTGGTTTTGTGGGCGTTGTCAATCTCCATGAATATTTGAGGATATTTTCTCGGTTTCTATTTATGTTACAACTTTCCGAGGCTTTCGCATTATTGAGGTAGATGAAGCCTTCACATCAACTGGCATCACCGAAGTGCTGACCGAGGTGATTGCTTTCAGGTTTGAACCACACAGTTTTCAGGAGGAAGAACCACTGACCAACGCCACATGCGAGGGATTGAACGCAACAGGTCTTCACCAGTTACAGGTCTTAGGGCCTTATGAGGTCTCCGCAGCCATTTGCGGTCCGGAATAGGTTGGCACTGGCCGCGCTATGTGCTTCCTCTTCCGTGAACTTGTGGCATGGCAGATTTGGGGGCACGCTGATGGCCGGGGCCTTCTATAAGAGATCCCATCCTGGGAGAACATACCAGCTGCAGTCAATCCCATTGTTGGAATCACTGGGAAAAGGGAGGAGCTGCTTCGCATACGAGACCTTGAAATTTTCCACAACGTGCCACTATGTTCATTTTGCAAAAGGGCGCCGCAAGATGGTTTGCCTTCTCGATACGTGTTACCGCCCTTCAACTGTTTACACTCGATCACAAATGGCCTCGAAAGGCAACAGTCTAACATGGGCAGGACGTCGTGTTTATCGCATTCAGCCTTTCGAACCATCCACGAAGCCTGGCACCCCAATTTCATCTGAAACAATATAACACAGCGTAGTGACTTCGTGCATATATGATATGTGTCATGTCCCATTGTTTTCCCAGCTTCCACGTCTTTGGGGGCCTTCTTGCAGCATCCTTTTCAGCAGGGAAGGTCGGCAGACATTAAGACCACGTATAATGAATTCAGGGTCAAATCCTCACACCCTGATCAGCAACTTTACGTTTGGAAGCCAGTAGTCAGTCCCAGTAACCTGAAGCAGAACTGACTAAGTGGTATCCATATTATGTGTCCCCTGGATTTCTATTTGAGGTCCTACCCATACTTGATGGGTCGCTTGGTGGACATGTTTGGAGAAGGTCAAGAAGGGCTTCTCTTCGTCATGGACCACACTGCTCTTTGTGGGCTGCTGGTCGTGGCAGGAGGCCAGTTGAGGAGCGGATTGCGGTGGAGTGCGGCCAGATTGGTGACCTGTGTTTCAGCTACCAATCATGTTCAAGAAAAGACTTCCTGACAGGGACCAATCACCTGTCCCCACTTCCTGTTTCTTCTTGTCTCTCAGATCAAACCTTGTGGTTTCATGATGTCTCATGCAGTTTCGGTCAGGATGACGAAGACCAAGATCCAGTGGCTTTGCACCACTGACGCGACAAAAGCATAGTTTCCAACAGCACGTGCAACCAAGCATCAGACTCGCACCAGACAGCTCGGATTGTCCTGCTCCGGGGGAACCCCGCGAGGTGCGGCCACGTTCTGCCGGCTCTACTTGATCGAAACAGCGATCGAGCGCATCGCCTTCCGCTTGCGGCAGCAGTTTTTCAAAGCCCTCGTGGAGCGGCCCATCGCCTTCTTTGACCAGAACAAGACAGGAGAGCGCCCCGTCTACGGTCTGACGCCTTAAACGGGTGTCCACGCCTTAAACGGGGTGACAGTCGGGGTGAGAGTCGGGTGGGCGGATGGGAGAGACGGAGAGACGGTGGCGTGGAACATGGGCGGATGGAAGAGTGGAAGTGCCTTGAAAGAGCCATCCAATAGACTTTTGTTCTCAGTCGAACGTAAGTTGTTGGAGGATTTTGAGATCAAATCCGGGAACTGTGGGCGATTAGAATGATTGAAGAAAAGATGGATAATTAGGTCCTATATGATCCTATCAACCTTTGGCTAAGGGTCCCACTTGGATAGTCTTTTGGCCCAGTCAAAGGCAAAGTGGACGAAGTGTGATACCAATGGAATGGAGAGTTGTGGAAGGGGAAGAGACTTGAGATCTACTGGTAGATGCAAAAGGCCAGACAGGACTGAACCTACCAATAGATCTGGAATGAGTCAAGGTCTCCGTCTGCGGAAGAAACTTTGGGTCCACACTAGTGAACTGGTGATGGTGGAAGAATGAAATTCTGAGCCCATTGGTGAGAGGAAGTTAGACACAAGTCGTTTATTTGAGGTGATGCAGGATCTATAGACTTTCTTCCATCAACAAGAATATACAAGAGTGATTACCTTCTTCACTCGCAGCTGATTCACTACCGTTACTAGTAGCGATGCCAGGAGCCCCTAGTAGCGTCCGATCGCTCCTAGTTGAATGTGCCTCATTGCCTCAGGTTGGTGAATCGGCTCGGGAATGATATCACCATGACGAGCCGGGTTCTCATTGATGCTTCGGCCGGGATCCGTGGCAGTATCACCGCTGCCGTGGGCACCTGCGCTTCGGCCGGATGGAAGGCTTTCGGCCGCGGATCAGAATCTGAATCGAGGAGGGCAGCAATACGGGTCGAAAGAGTGAACGAAGCTAGAAGGACCTGATTATATAGTGACCTGCTTCCAAAGACAGAGACCACTAAAAAGATACCAAAACAAGAATGTAAGAGCCCCTGAATTAAAAACAAGGGTGGCCTGATTGAAGGGACCCTTACCTTCTTATAGTTCTTATTTGTCTCTTTAAAAAACCTACGGTTGCATCTCCACTGGCTCTACAACCTGGACACTCCCAGGTATGATCTTCCAACTAGCACCTCGAGAGATGATGCTTGGTGCTGATCTTTCAGGAGCTTGGTCTTGGTGGTGTTGGATGGGTCGGTCTTGGTGGCGAGTGACGAGAGCTTGCCGAACCAGAAGAAGTTGAGATCAGTGGTCAAAACCGGTGGTTGGATCTTACCAAGAATCCAGCCTGATTTTCTTTCGAACTCTAGATTATCAAAGTAGTTGCAGGGTGTTGAACTCTTTGAGGATGTTATGATGTTGCACATCCTGACACTGAGGATATCCAACTGCTTAGTTCCGGCATCCAGAGGCCTCGAGAGT